TTGTGATATGGTGGTTATCATTATGGATATATCCAACGACCTACATTACCAATGAACTATTGTCATTGTGATATGGATATAGCTAGTTTACACACTGGTAGACATAGTAGGGTTGCATGCACAGTGCTACAGGGATTTAGTTAGCTTACACATCTGAGAGACACATATGTAGGGCTCAGTGTAATTAATTACAAACTTGTCTACTTGCACAATATTCCAGGGGATAACTCTGTAATTATGTGCAAACGCACCTACTTGCATAGTGTTAATCAATCTAATTACATGCTTACACAAAGCTCTATGGATTTAGTTCAATGTAGCTTACATTATTCATATATACACCAGTGTAAAGCCATTAGATAGCATACACATGGGGTAAGAAAGAATTATGAGTTTTGAGGTCAAAAGTTCAAGGTAAAAGTCACTGGAAGTTAGCAGAGAAAGTCTTCACAATAATTCATGTTTCCTATAATCTACTAAACTTTGTGAATAATTTGAATTCAGATAAGGAAGAATGCTATCGGTTTAGTAGAGAGGTTATTAACTGAAAGAAGAAAATGGTTTCCTCACCATAACTCTTGCATGATCTGCAGTTACTAAATTTTGTGGTTAACTTGCATTTGGAGGAATAAAACTATTATTGGTAAGGACAAAACTATTATGGGCAAGGACAAAACTATTATGGGTAAGGAGAAAACTATTATGGGGTCAAAAGAGTATTAAATGTTGAAGTCATTCTGATTGAATGATGAAAAATTGACCCATTCCTGTCAGTAAGTGGGCAACTATCACTACACAATTTCCTGAAGTTATCTTTGGATGATATAAATGTAAAAACTGTGTTTCAAAACTTAAATAATGGTATGTAAATAGCAATTTGTGTTTAAATAAGAGAATCAGTGATATAATATTTTAACTTATGCATGTACACTATTTTCTTCATAAAATCAGTTTGAATCTGTAAGTGAACCTGTCATAGGAAAATAATGGCAAACATCACTGTGTCTGTTTTTGTAAATCATTAGGCAAATATATTCAGGAAAATACACAATTCATAAAGACTGTTTAAGTGGACTAAGTGGTTAGAACATCCACTTTGGATTCAGGAGATAGTGGGTTCAAACCCCGGACAAGTTATACCAAAGACTTACAAAAATGGCTTTTGCACCTGCTTCACTAGATGCTCAGCATTAAGAGGTTGGTGTTAAATTATAGAAAGCAAAGTCTAATTATTATGTTTTTGAAGATTTGGCTTTAAAATGCAATTATGTATATCAGAAATGTATGGCTGTTTTGTGAAATTTGAGAAGCATTGTAAGGTTTTGCAATGCAAAAAAAAGAAGTGTAACAGATAAAATTTAACCAATGTTTAATGTTACTGCAAGTTATTAGAACATTTCATTTGCAGTTCTATCAATGGATTGTTGTAACAAAGCTATAAAGTGAAGGAGTACATTAAACAAACCCCTTTTTCTAAAAATAGATGCACTCTGTGTTGATTCAGTTGGAAAGAATTTTTTGTTCATTCATATGCCAACATTAATGCTTCATTGTGTTGTCTAAGAATAGTTATGTTAATGTTTAAGCAGCAACAAAGAAATAAGGAAGAACAGTATGGATGGAAGATGTGTACACTGCTCTCATGTTCCTGGTACAGGAGTTGTTTAAAACAAGTTTAGAAATGCCATTTACAGTGAAATTTCAGAAATTAAAAAAGAAAAATTGATTGAGGGTAGTTGATTAATCATTTTTACTAACTTGGAACTTCAGTACTGTAATCTAGTTACTCAGTTATATTTCATTAGTGAATAGCTTCTATTGTTCGCTTTTAAAGACGTATGTCCAAAATACACTGCATATGAAAACGATAATTTATCTATTTTTACCAAATCAGAAAATTTTCTACTTGAAAATAAAGTATTGCTTAAAACTAAATATGCATACTGGGGAAATAATGGGGATATTTCAAATTATGTGTGTGTGTGTGAGAGAGAGAGACACACACAAATAGACAGGCAGACAGATCTTCTTACACACACACACACACACACACACACACACACACAAACACACACAGAGCCATTCTTGCTTTACTCTAACATCTCCCAGCTCTGCTCTCTCATTTCCAAAAGAAGTCACTTATTCCTAAAATTCAAGTCTAGCTGAGAAGAAAAGTGATTTCACAAATTTCAGTGATTTACTTAGAAGACAATTACATACTGTGTTGTCATATAATGTGCCTTTTATGGTACTCTGGCTTAATATTATCTGAGAATTTTTACATGCTTACTCACAAAAGTAATTTACTCTTTGAAATTGATTTCATCTGCAAACTGCAAAGATTAAGATCTACCATTGCATGATGTGCTTGCTAGCTGATCTGGGGTTTTGACATGTTGTTAGGATCACTTAGAAGAACAAATTTAATGTGCTGACAGAACAGGTTTTATGTTGTTTGCACTCCATATAGAGAACTGAAGATATTAGAAAAATATTGTCAAGGAATTTTCAAATGAACAATAAAAACTCTTCAAAGCTTTCATCTATCTTCTTTCATTAACTTCATTTATGTCTTTAGTCAGTTTTCATGATCATAATAATACATTCTAACACATACAGACAGCCACTGCACATTGGAGTGACATTCTGTTAAAACAATAAGTCAACTGAACTACAGATTGAGCCTTATTGTTAATTGACACACTTTTGCAATGCTGACCTACATTCTGGTAATTTCAAAGCAACCAGTTCAGTAACACACTATAGCAGTCAGTACCTGCTAATGGAGCTATTGATTAGAGATAGAAACCAGTCTATTTACTACTGGGAAGAATGGCCCCAACATGTACCCAGTTTGTCAGTTGCTTGTCAACAGTGGCATCAACATCAACAAAACAAAATCCTGGCAGGCAGGACTTGTTAATTGTACCAACTTGTTCCATTTAACATTCAGTTTCTAGGCTAACGAATGCACTGTTCACTATGACCTTGTAGCTAGGCTAGGTCAGCACACCCTGGTCATGGAATATCTTCCAAGTGTTGGGTCAATGACTCATACAAATGATAGATCAGAATATGGATCTGAGTGAAGCAAGCAGAGTTTGTTTTCATAAGTTGGACAATCAATATTATTTGGGATGTAGCTTCTTAGTGCAGACAATTCTCTGAGGCTTATGTTTAATAAAACTTGAATATATTCATCAAAATATCCGGAATCTTGTTTTGACACAATTTAAAAGTAGTTTTAAATAAATACAGGAAAGTTGTTGTTGTTGTAGGGTTTAACGGCAGTTTTCAGCACAAGATGTTACCATGTTAGACAGCCTAAGACTTGAACCCAGAACAGTGACCACTTTAGATCACTTGGCCACTCAAAACCCCATAAAGAAAATTAGGTCAAACTAATCCAAATTTGGTGGTTGAAGTGTTCACCTGTAGATGTACTGCCCCAGGATTCATTCTTGTCTGTGCCATTGTATAAGTAACCCATACTTTTCATCTCTGGTTCATGAATGGTCCCTCTGTCATGACGGTAGTGTACATAATAAAACCTAAGAAAAGAAACTGAAATGATCATTATGATTCACTTGATCTTGAATTGAGTACATCCCATGCTTTTTCTGAATAGAGTGCACTCACTCATAGCCAACAAATAATACTAAGACAAACAATTTCAATGACCCAGAGAGCTGTCTTGTGGTTTTTACTTAATGATTTTAATTAATAAAGATCATTAGCAGTGGATCATTAACAGAAGGTGTATGAAGAGAAAATGAAATATTAAGCAGAAAAACAGCTACATATATTTCCAGAGTAGTGTACAGGGAGCAAAGATTGTAGACTCTAATGGTCAAATAAAATCTGGTGTGAAAGTTATTACCAAGTGGGGAGTAATTAAAATTTTATTCAGTTAGCTGTTATAGAAATACAAAAAATTAATACTTAGCCTGAATATGATTGCATGAATGGTTGCTCTCCAGTACTTGCAGTTGGTCCACAACTTGTAAGAAATTTCAAATTGAGACCAGTCTGATTTCTCTCTGGAAAGTGTTCATAGTATTAAAGAGTAAGATTGAGGCACTTATCTGAGCATGATCAAAACATTTGGAAAACATATTTCTGAAGAAGTAGGGGCTCTCATTGAACAAAGACAGTAATACTCTTGACATAACATACTTTTCATTAAAAGGAAATAGAGTGCTGAATCAGCATTTTTTAAATCTGGCAAATGATTGGAAATTCAAATGGAAGCTAGAATTTTTATTTGCTTTTTTGAGCTGTGCAAGTCGATTGTAACCCCTGAAGGTTGATTTCATTTTTTGAAAGGAACAGCTTTTACTAGAGGATAGAATAAACATAGACTTTTGAGAAGCAACTTTTTATTAATAAAATCAAGCTTTTAACTTTAATATTTCATTATCTTAAATATGCATAGATGTAGAAGTGTGTTATGGCACCTCCTCACATTATTGGCATTATGGGACCATCTAAAGGTAAACTTTGAAAAACATGTTATTTTGAATTTTAATTTAGCTGTAAAAAAATTTCCAGGGGGGCCCGCGTAGCCGAGTGGTCTAAAGTGCTATCCATTATGGATCATTGCTATCTCACCTCTGTCTGTGTGGGTTCAAGTCTAAGATTTGGTGAATATGGATATGTGAGAAAGCTTGCCTGTTGCTTCTCGTTGGTCAGTGGTTCTTTCCACGGATTTCCATCCGGTTTCTTCCTCCACCATTAATACTGGCTTCCATGTATAGCCTATTGGGTGCTGAAAAATGGCATTAAGCCCCAGAACAACAGCAGGAACAACACCAGTCATATTGCTTTGATATCTTCAGTGTGAGAATTTATATTGATGTCTAGCACTGGAGCATCATGCTGCAGACATGTAGCATTATGTCCCACCCAGTCACATTGTTTTGACACCAGGTCAACCAGTGTAACCTCTTATGCTAAGCACCAAGTGAGGCAGCTGCTCGTACCATTTTTATAAGTTGGTATGACTCCGCTGGGGTTCAAACCCATGACCTCACGCATCCTAGGCAGACACTGTAACCATTTAGGCAACTAGACCAGTCTAGAAAAATATGAAAATGAAGAATTGCTCAATACCTTGACAAACATAACCCTTCCAAATAAATGTATAAATGAAGTACAAGATAAAATATAAAATATAAAATGTAAAGAAGTTGTAATCCTTTTAAAAGTATAATAAGACCAAATATAAGCATGGTGTTGTCAACCATCGTACAATTCATTTTCCAATGTAACACAACCATATATATTAATATTTATAAGCAATCTCTTTTCCAAAATGATAATAAGACTTGACATAATTTACTTTTCATGCTTAAAATTTATTTTATTTACAAGAAAAATACAGGTAATAAGGTAAATGAAATTTCAGGAGCCATGCCACAACTGTGTTATATCCAAATTTGTGTTATAATGGAGCACATTATAAGGTCACACTGTATTATGATTTTTGGATGACCCATTCTATTATATAATACTTTTATTGTACATATTCAGTCATCCATCTATTCTCATATCTGTCCAGGTCTCAAACCCTCACCCTGATGGATAAATACTGTATTGAAAACTGAGTGCAAGATCATGATGCTGGAACTTTATAACTATAAAAAAACAAGGGCAGCTGTATTGGCAAGTAAAGAAAATTTAATTTAAAGTAATTTTCAACCAGCTGTATGACACATTATAATGAAAGATAAATTGTTCAAAGTTAAAACCAAATTTGCAAGGTTTTGGTAAACTCATCCACTCAGTTCTCTTCACATCCTTGATTGCCTGCCATCTTATTTTCATTTTCTCATGAATTTACCAGTCATTTTAAGTCCATGTCTAGTTTTCTCAGAACATTGACTCTTCATGATATTTTATCATGATTGAGTGAGCCAGTCATAATGTTTGTTCCAAACATTTGTACAATTGATAAAAGTTAACTCCATGGATGTACCACAGCTTATTTCATAGACTTGTTGACTCCTGATGACATAGTTTTGCTTATTCATATCCATGAGGTTAATCTTGTTGCATGCAGGTATGGTTGGAAACAATATGAATTTTTGGTTCATGCATAAATCAATTTTTTTAAAATGAAATTCTAGAAAGGGTATAACTGTTTGGGTTTCTTTCACACTATAAGCCTCAATGTTTGATCTGACAAAATGACTCAGATTGCACATGCTACTGGTAGATCAAAAATAACTGACAGTAAAAAAATCAAAGTATTGTTATTTATGATGGCTACATAACAGTACAATAGATGTAAATTTAATATGTTATCTTACCTCCTGTTTTCTTGGTTCATACAATGTATGCACTGTATATACAGGTCAGATTCAACTGCAAACTGCATAGACCCAGATCTGCCACTGCATGATGCACTACAGCAGATCCGAGTCCATGCAGTTTTTTAGGAGTAATCTTTAGAAAGATAACACAAATCCTAAACTGCCACTGCATTATATGCAAGCAGTAAATCAGGGTTTATGTTCTTTGACTCCACTTGTATGTGAATATATATGGTAATTTTTATATCATAAGCATCATTCAGCTGTGTAGAGGTGGGCTTACAAATGCTTTCTTATAGTAATTTTGATATTATCTTGGGGGATACACTTTATGAATTCCTTCAGTGGGCTTATCACCAATTGTGGTCTTAAAGTTAGTTATAATAATAAAGAGTGATATTTTTCCAACAGTAAGACCAGAGGTCTGGCCTAGTAAAAACAAAATTGTATAAAAGGTTAGAAGTGTAGTTAATTTGAGTTATCCTTTGTTGATGATTATTGTGTAAACAAAAAAAAGTGGTGGGTTTAACATTATCTGGGCTCATTTAATCAGAGGAATATGGTAAGTAGTGTTTTAGCAAAGGCTTTTATTGACACTGATCATTCTTGAGAAATAATCAATACACCTTTATAGTAATTATTTGGCTTTCATTTTCCTTCTACCTTCTGGGTCCCTTATTTGACTTATAGATTTGTCAAATGTCATTTGGGTTACTGTGACCTACTTACCATAACTGAAGTTTTTACTGGTTGATTTGCCAGAACTCACATTGGAATACTAGCTGCTCTTTGGAATTGCAGCAGCTGACATTATCTCAGTGAGGAGTTTGACCATCATATTTACCACATTGTGGTGTTACCTGCAATGTTTTGACAGATATGCTTACCACCTTGGGGTGCTGCAATGTTTTGACAGGTATGCTTACCACATTGGGGTGTTATCTGCAATGTTTTGACAGGTATGCTTACCATATTGGGGTGTTATCTGCAATGTTTTGACAGGTATGCTTACCACATTGGGGTGTTATCTGCAATGTTTTGACAGGTATGCTTACCATATTGGGGTGTTATCTGCAATGTTTTGACAGGTATGCTTACCACATTGGGGTGTTATCTGCAATGTTTTGACAGGTATGCTTACCATATTGGGGTGTTATCTGCAATGTTTTGAGAGGTATGCTTACCACATTGGGGTGTTATCTGCAATGTTTTGACAGGTATGCTTACCACATTGGGGTGTTATATATAGAGTTTTGATTGGTAGAATTGCCAAAACATAGGTTGGCTTGCTATCTGTGCCCACACTTTAATAATTGCAACCACACAGATATGAAGTGAAATTAAATACAAAATTTCTGAACTTAAAATCTATACAGTGCTAATTAGATGGAGTCTTTGCTACCTTCAGTAGTTTAGTTGTTGTTGTTCTTGTAGGGTTTAATGCCATTTTTCAGAATAAGATGGGCTATTCATTGCTGCCAGTATAAATGCTGGAGGCAGAATCCAGGTAAACATGGGAAAGAACCACTGACCCTGGAGAAGGTACTGCCAAGCTTTCTCACATACCCACATTGGCTGAACCCGAGACTCAAACCCATGCAGAAAGATGAGATAGCAATGATCCCTATTGGTGAACACTTTAGACCAACTGGGGCCTCCCCCATTACTTTAGTAGAAGGGGTTGAAAGTAATGCAGGTTTCATTTGTGTTCATCTTTTGAGACAGAATGGTATTCAGAGTCCCCTCCCAAAAAATTCTTATTGATTTTCTCCAGGTGGTGTTGATGGACATTGTACACTCCAGGTTTGCAGCGTGTGCAAATATTAAACTATATGTCCTTGTTGAGCAAAGTCAAACTCTGTCCAGCACTTTAAGTTTGCTAGGCTTTGCTCACTTTGCATGTGGCATACTGTTCCCAAAATCACAGCTTCATTCAACATTTTTCTTTCAGACATGTACACTATTCTAAATAATCACATTTTGCATTTTATATATGGGGTGAAATCTGAGTTATAAAAACATTAGCGCTGATCATGAACTTGCCAATAATCTTTAATATTGTCTTAAACATTCTCATTCAAGGAAGTGATGTGTAATAAATTCTGTTCTTCAGTATGCTTCTCTTTTATTTATGAACAAAATTTGCTTAGGATACTTTGCCTATGCAAATTAGCATAAGTATACAAATTAATCTTCCAATGATTTAAGATGGCATTACTCAAGCTATTCTAAATCAGTTTGGTTATCTATGAAATGGGGGTTGCCACCTTACCTTGTAATTGACTCTAATCTATTGCTGACATAAAGGCAATTTTTCAATGTAATTTTTTTATGATATAAATAAGCAATATAAAACCAGGTCAGAGATGGATCTGGCTCAAGACTGGGTATCACATACCTGATCTATTAAGGTTGTTTCACTTAGACTCTATGCCAGACCATTTACTGCTTATATAGACAGCATGCTAGGGATATGTAAAGTTGTGGTACAAAGTGTCCTTATCTATCTCTCAATTTTTTTTTTTAAGATTACAAAAAATTCTTTTTCAAAACATGACTGTCAGGGATTTTAGGGTGGAAAATCATAGTTTTCAAAAGACTGTTGCGAAAAATGTAATCATACCATATAGAACTCTTTCATGGACACGATGACTTGATCGACTGAAAGATTTGCCTGAAACAGGCAGTGCACAAGTAAATGCGGAGAGATTGTAAATGAAGAAACACATAAGCATAGTGGATAACCTAAAGAAAACTTATATTTTCCTTTAAAAAAATATATTTAGCTTTTCTTTTGAATTTTCAAATTTTTTAATAAAAATTAATGAGCCATGTACATTCAGTTTGAAATTGAATACTGCATTTCAGAGAACTGCGAATAAAAGTACCCAGAATATATGCTTTCTTGATTAAGAAAAGCTGCAGAAAAATAACATATTGCTATGGTTATTGTAATTGGATGCAATGTTAGATCTGCACCCATATTCAGATATTTACTTGACAAAATTTGCCAGATCCAGTGATCATTACCATGCAAGAAAAGTTTTATGTGTTGTTGGCATATGCTTACAACTGTCTCTATATCGGATGCATTTAATGGTTCAACTCCCTCCCTGAATTCATAGATTTTGAATGCTGTCAGGCAGATGCTTGGAATAATAGCCTTGTTTTTGGTCATTTAGTTACAAGGAACTTCGAGTGCTGTGTTCAGTTGCATAAGAATTGCATCAAACAGCTCATTGATTTTCTATACTATGCTCATCAGCTACATTTCTATATCAAACCAGAAATTTTAACTATGTATTTAATTGTCCGATTCCCACCTTAATGGTGTTGCTAAAAAAAAAGCTTTAGAGAATTTTGCAGCCTCTGTTTTTATGTCCTGGATTAATTAGAAACATTCTTTCATGAAGTTTTGTTGTCTCAACTTTCACAAGCTATCATATCACTTTCACACAAAGACAGACCATGAAAAAAGGCACTTCAAAGAATTTGATGTCATGTAAAAATTTTGTGATAAAATGGGGAAGTATTTCGCTTATATGCTGGAAGAATTGACTCAGACAATTGTAAATTGTTTATATTTGCATAATAGTTTACCAAAATCATAGTGAAGATTTGATTTGGTGAGATAGCCTTCCTTGGGTTGTGTTCAATCAATTGCTTGTATTTTGTGGTATGGGGGTGTTTCCTTGCTCAAATTTCTAAAAATATTTTTAAAAAAGCAATCGTTACGTTTTTCAGCTACAAACTTTTCTAGCAAT